CTGTTCACCTGTCTCACTCTCTACCTGTCTGACTGTTCACATGTCTCACTCTCTACCTGTCTCACTCTACAGGAGTTCTTCAGATCCTCTCTGCCAGGAGGTTCTCTGGGCCCTGGGTGCCGGCTGCAGGAACATCAGCAGCCTGCAGGTGGCGCCTGCTGAGCCCTGGTCAGTGCACCCTCTGACTGATCAACACAACTCAGCAGCAGTTTAATGTTTTAACCAATTTACCTTAAGAAAGTTTTAATAAGTCGTCGGTCTCTTCTTGTTTTAAGCCAACAACCGACCCGATTTGGAAATCGCTGCCTGCAGACGATTGGTCGATGCTGGCCGCACCTCTGCTCACTCAGTGTGGGCGGGGCCAGCTGTGGGACTCAGGGATTGGTTGCTGTTGGTGAGTGACAGCTTCAGAAAATGATGCAAAAACCAAGAAACAAAAACATTTTCACATTTATTAGAAGCACTGTTTATGGATGGACGTGAATGTAAAGGTGTTAATCACCTCTCTCTCCGTGCAGTGCGAACCTGCGCTCACCTGCAGGTGCTGGAGCTGCAGTGCATTACCGACCTCGGCCTGCAGGCGGCAACAGAGCTGTGTGAGGCCGGACTGAAGAGTCTGCAGACGCTGATCCTGACACACACACCTGTCAGTGGTCAGGCCATCCTGCACTTCCACAGTGAGACACACACACCAACTTCCTCTTCCTATCGACACACTTACTTGTCATCACTAAATTATGAATATAGTTCTGTTTGTGTGTGTCTGTATGTGTCTTTGTGTGTGTGTTGTGTGCGTGCGTGCGTGTGTGCGCAGGTGTGTGTGATAACCTCAGGTCCATCGTGGTCGAGGTCTCAGCATTAGATTACTTCGACGAGCCGGACACTGAGGAAGCTCGACACCTGTTTGGAGAAATTCTCAGCACATTAAAAGTGAGTTTGTTAAATACATCAACTGTCATCAACGTTTTTTTATATACAGTCTTAATCCCCAGGTTTCCATAGCAACAGACTCCGACTGCTCATCAAGTGAAATGCTGTCATGTGTTCTTTGTTCTTTTTTTTTCTTCCTCAGGTTCTACAGCAGCGTCCTGGACTGTGTGAGGTCCTGCAGGTTAAAGCTGAAGGATTCTGCTGACCTCAAAACACACACACACACACACACACACACACACACACACTTTGTTCTTGTATACCTGTAAGGACCTTTCAATCCACAAACTAAAGCAGATGAGACACATCATAGCTGAAAATGACAATAAACATCTTAATAAATTAAACTGCAGATGATTCATTCATTTTGAAATAGTGGAAATTATTCCTCAGAAGGTGAAATTTAATTGTTTAGCCTTCTGTTTCAGAAACCATATTTTATTGGATTATTACAGTAAAATGAACATTTGAGAGGCTAGAAATTCTTTTGTCATTTTTGCTTAAAAAATAATCTACTGATAATCAAATTAGTAGCAGATCAATTTTCTGATCCATCAATATGTTAATTATCAGCTCTAATTACCAGTAAGTGGTCGTTCCGTTACAATGATTCTGATCCAACTAAACACTGATCTGTCTAAAGCCCTTGAAGAAACACAACATTTTAATTCCTCTTAAATGTGTCACAAACACTTTTTTTCAGAACACTTGTCTTTATTGCACTTTTTAAACAAGATCTGATCTTAAACCCTTAATCTCCCTGAACAAAACCCTTTACCTAAACAGTTTTACTCATTTAATACAATTCTTAACCTCTTAGTTTTACGTATGTACCCTTTAAAACGACAGTAGCAGCAATAAGGATTTAAATAAATCCTTATTCCACCTTAAGTGTAGTGTAGTCACAGAAAACCTTTAATCTTACTTATTATTAAAATAAAATAAGTCAATTGTAATAAAAAAATCAAAAACTTTTCCTTTAAAAATAAGCACAAAACACAAGTACGCACAAATATTTTTGCACAAAGTACAAAATGAATGCGCCAAAGACATCAATCAATCAATCATTCATTCAGAGCTGATGTAAAAGTGAATCAATCATCATGTGTTTAGAACCTCCATCTGTCATATCATCATCAATAAACATTTTCTCTGCAAAACGTTTGTGTTGTTAATTAATGCTCGACTGGTAGAACCAACAGAGGGCGCTGTTGTTGTTTTCATCAAACAAAGTGATTGGCAATCGGGAGGAACGGAACCGGGCCGGAAGAACACGACGACGTTGAAATGTCTGAAACTGCAGTTTCTCTAATGTCCACCAGATGGTGAGTAACTGACGAAACCTCTGACTTTGTTTTACAAGATTTAACAATGAATTTAAAATGAGATGAAATAATCGGATGTGATGTTGAAGACAACAAAGATGCAAAATAACCATAAATGTTTATATCTGACGTCTTGTTTACTTTTGTTCATTTATTTCAGGAAATAACCCTAATTCAGAACTTTGTGACTCCGCCCCCTCCATGTTTCAGGAAGTGACTTGACCAGCTTCGCTTTTTGTGATAGAATCATCTGAGCGAAGGTCGAGTGCAAAGTTCGTCCTGGGAAGTGCGTGTGTGTTTGTCCTGTGCCTGAGGGAGTGAGAGAGAGATCGACCTTTAACCCCAACAAGAGACAGAGAGAGGGTGAGTGAGAGAATGTGACGACCAGCGACGGCTCAAAACCTGTGTTTGTTTTAACTTGTGTGTGCGCAGAGGGAACTTGGGTATTTTTGGTCGCCATGGTTATCCTCAGACGGACGACACTGCTTCGTTACCTGCTGCTGGCAGCCATGTTGGCTCTGTTCCTCTTTGCCAGCTCCTTGTGGCTACGTGAGTGTCTCTGAAACAGGTCGGCCATGTTGGCTCCACCTTTTATTAGTTCACCAACACCAGTAAAAAGTAATCTGTCGCCAGTTTAAGATACTTGTACTCAAGTATTTTCAATTGATGCTACTCGATACCTCTTCTTCTCCACAACAGTAATTT